ACCTGAAATATGAATTTCAGTTTAGCAATAGGATTAATCACTTTTATTTTCATTTATCTTTATTCAAAATTATGATACTAATCAAATTTTCTTGGCTAGTTTAAAAAAAAAAAAGGAAAAAGGAATAAGAAATTTTTCATTCTATTCCTCACACAAATTCTTAAAAAGATGAAATAAATTTTATGTGAAATTTCATTTTTGGAAATAATTTTGAAATTAATCTAAGGGTTCAAAAAAGACAGGGAATAATTTTAATGGTAACAGAAGTAATAGTAATACTTGAAAAAAAAAAAGAGCAGATAAAGTACTTATCGATATTTGTCAACTAAGTACGCATGACTAGTTTATGAGATTATAAGTTTAATAAAACGGGTAAACAGGATAAAGTATGGGTAAAATGTTTCTTAGGAGATAGGGAAATCTTCGAGAAAACGATTTTGTGAAGGATTTGACAGTAGGAATTAATAAATGCATTGTGTTTTTATTAATACTTAAAATTATAAGAGGATTTGTGGAAAATGAAATGAATAGGATGGTAGATGAGAGATGTCATGTGATTCCGTTGATATTTTTACCTTCAGCTGAAACAAGTTCTGAATTTCTTGTTATACGAACAGAAATTAGGACAGATTATAGAAAAATTCAACTGTTTTTTCCTTTCTTTTTAAAAAGCGTAACACAAAAAACTATGGGGTCATCTTAATCCGATATCTGACAAAAGTTGAATCGGGATGAACGTTTAATCGTTGCTTCCTTTTTTTGAGGTTCCCCAGAGATAGCTGTAATACTTAGAGAATTCTAGAACACAAAATTATATCAATCTTATTGTGATCCGTTAATTTTGATCCCAGATGAATCCCGCGACTTCTTTGGTTAACATCAACAATTGAAAAAAAAAAAAGAAAAAAAAGAAAAAGAAAAGAAAAATGATCTCTACCTAAATGCTTTTTCTTGATCGTTTCTGATCATTTATCAGCAAGACAATCGTTTTTCTATTTTATTTTATCTTTTTGGCACCATAAAAGGTAAGAAATGGAAGGATTTTTTGATTTTTTCGAATTTTATTCCTTCCAGATATCATTGTGAAAATCATTTAATCAGCAAAGGTTAAAATGTTCGATAATTTTACCTTAAATATTATTAAATTAATTTATAAAATTTTAAATTTGGATCACACAAGTACTCATTGTAAATGAATATTGCTTGTGTATATGCATTGCACTGTTGTTAATGAATCCATGATAATTGCTAGAAATTAGTTTATAATTAAATTTAAGATAATCTTTGAAACTGTCTTTACGAGGAAATTATACCAACGCTCTCTCTTTTAAATTATAAAGTTCATAGTTCATAATCAAATAGGATAATCGATTTATTAATGATATTAATATATCTTGTAGAAATTAATTACCAAAGCACTGATTTGATAGAAGGAAATAGGAGAGCAATTTCTTGTTGTATTCTAGGATTTAGCAAAGGATACATTTTAGAGTTTTGACATGAAAAATGACATAATGCTTGTTTTTGAGAGAGAGAGAGAGAGAGAGAAAAGAAAGGAAAAAAGAAGATGAAAAGTTTATGGAACAAAACTATAGGAATACGAAAGTCCCCAAAAAAGTTAAATAAGTTAACTCAAAATTGGACAAATTACAATAAGCAATAAGGGATAGTTTATAGGATAGATATGATTAAACATCAAATTTACGTTAGAGAAAAAAAGAAAAAATTACGCATAGATTACGTAAATTTTAATATCTCATTGTTAATCGTATTGATATTAATATGACAGGTAGAATATGTACGAGAAGATAAGGGAGCAAGAATGCAGGAACCTGAAATTGGTGGCATTTATTGGTGTAGCTATGTCAACAGTTGCAACATTGGTTTGCGTGATCTCAGTACCGTTGCTTTACAATTACTTGCAGCATATGCATTCAATAATGCAATCTGAAATAGACTTCTGCAAGTCACGATCCAGTAATATATGGCGAGAAGTGACACGTACACAGGTCAGTTAATTCAATTTGAGTTGTTATTTAAGTTCGAATAAAACATAACTCAACTGATTACTGTAAAAAGTTTAGTTAATTTTGAAAAAACTACTCTCAATGTGAATTATTTTAAAATTTAAGCTAAAAAATTATGCTCATCTTGACCTGGATTAATTAAAATCAGCGTTTTCTGTCTAATTTTATATCTCATATACTACTATATTCAATAATATGAATATATGTTGTATGTTACGGTATATCGAAGTGTTCAACTCATCGAAATTTAAAAGTGAAGTGAAGGATACTTGAAATAACAAGGAATTCATATCTAGGCGTAAATTTTATTTATTCATTCGAAAAATTGTCAAAAATTTCAATCCATATTATATGCCGATTTTCGTTTTACCGAATTTTTAAGTTTAGATATTCGCAAAAGTGGGAGGTGGAGTTCGGCAAGTGCGACAAATAGGAAATGATCAATCAAGCTTTGTCTCTGGTGCACCGGCATCACCATCTGGTGAGTGTTGCGGATGTGGTGTTTCGCCACCGGGTCCACCTGGTCCACCGGGTGAGGACGGTAGCGACGGCGTTGATGGTGAAAGTGGACCACCTGGTAAAGATGGTCTTGATGCTCCACAGGAACCACCTGAGCAGCCGAAGATCGATTGGTGCTTTGAATGTCCTGATGCACCTGCTGGACCGGCCGGAGCACCTGGTCCGAAAGGGATGCCAGGAAAACAAGGTCCACCAGGTCCGGATGGACCCGTTGGCAGTGGCAGTTCACCTGGTGAACCAGGACCAGAAGGACCAGCAGGATCTCAGGGGCCACCTGGTGAAAAAGGTCCTGCTGGACCACCAGGTACTGTCATTGAAAAGGAAGGTCCACCAGGACCACTAGGAAAAGCGGGAGAACCAGGATTACCTGGACCTGATGGTGAGGCAGGTGCACCTGGTAAAGCTGGATCAGATGGACCAGAAGGACCACCAGGAGATGCAGGTATAGATGGACCAGCTGGAAAACCTGGACTTGATGGAGACAGAGGACCAGATGGCGAAGCTGGAGCTCAAGGTTCCTGTGACGCTTGTCCACCGCCAAGGACAGCACCTGGTTATTAAATATAAGACTCTAATGCCTGGCCTTTTTTGTGCTGTTATTGATTGTGCTGCTTTTTTGCTATTAAATTTTCATCTGAACTCTTCTTCTAAAATTGATAATTGCATTAAATTGTGCGATTATTTAAACCTTCTCATTGATTCATTTCCATTACATTTAATTAGCAAATAAATCTTTAACGATGGTTCGACTCTAAACTATTTATAACCAATAAAACTAGTGATAATATTACATAAAACATTCTAATATTACTAAGAGTTGATAAAGTTCGATGAAAGTTTGATAAATTTTTTTTGTGAATTGTTCAACTTTGTAAATTTATGTAATGTAAAGAGAAAAATATATGTGAAATGAATTTATTTATTCATTATTCAAAATTAAGCATTAACCTAAGATGAAAGTCCTTTTTTTTTATTGCATTTTAACGTAACCTTTAGTTAACCAAATATATCTGCATTGTAAATAAATGAAAAACAGCTGAACAAATTATGGATCAACTTATAATAACTTTATCATCAGGTAGTAGAATTTCGAATTGATAAATTTCATTTAATTGACTTTAACACAATTAAACTTCTAATTAATAAAATTTCCTCAATTCTATTTTAGTAAAATCTTTAATTAAAATATTTAGAAATACCCAATAATCGATATTTTCTGTTACTGTAACAATGTTTATCCTACAAATCATAGGGGTCAGCATCATAAGAATAAACATTACTTGTAAACATTGTTTCGAAATTTATTGCAAATGCGATAACAGTTAAACGAACATTGGATGATGATAAAATCATGAAAAAAAAAAAGTTTACCTGCTTGCTCTACTTTTGTTACATTTTTTTTTTAAATAGTCAACAATCAATTTGCTAACCAATTTGCCAGACGAATCCAAGAGATACGGGAAATATTTTTGATGAATTGTAAAGTAACACTTACCTTTGCCATCGACTGTTCCATAAAAGGCAATAAGTATGTAAGCAGTGTGTTTGGGTAACTTATTAATAGGTAAAATTTTGATGGGAGAATTTTTTGAAATTGTTAAAACCAATTAATTGTAATATTCCCCGTGTAGCTTGATAAAATTTGATAAAAAACATGACATTTATGCAAATTTTTAAGTAGCATAGAAGAAAGGGTGCGCAAAAATTGAATAAATAAGAATAGTTCCCAATGAATTTTATGAGAAACTGATAAAGTAAAATAATCAGATATGATAATGGTTAAGATTTAAATAGTTCAAATCATCGCTTCATATTTCGAAGAAAGTTTGGATGCTGAATTAGCAGTGGTCGAATTTGAAATTATTCGCAGGAAAAGAGTCAAATGGCCAAAAGTTCTTCAAAAAAAGAGACAGAGAGAAAAACATCGTACACAGCCAATTTAATATCGATTTTTAATGTCCCATTTAATAAGATCAATTATATATTATTAATATTGAATTTAATATCGATATTTAATATCTAATTTAATATCGACATTTAATATCAAATTTAGCATCGAATTAGTATCAGCCAATTTGTTATCGAATTTAATATCGATAGGAATAATTATAAATTGTAAAAAGAAAATTCGTACCAAAATATTTCAAAATTCAAACATATCGCGAAAGATTTCGATTTTGAAAGTATTTTTTTTTTCTGAAACTATTTGAAATGGAAATGAATGTATTTAACAAGAATGATCAAGCTAAGCGTTTTTTTTTTCTGTTCTTTCGTTTTAATTCAAACAAATTTCAATAATAAAAGCAAGTACGGTATCGCTTTTCTAATTTTAATCAAATTTCTGATTGACATTTTGTATCATCAATTCATAATAGATGATAATGATGCCTGAATTTGCTTATTGGAATTTTCTTAAAAGATGCATTTATGAATTCAGTGCTACAATTTCCTGTCATACATTTCCTTATCACTTGTTGTTTGTTATTTTGCTAATCAGAAATTTGACAGGAAAATCAAAATTGAGCACAAGAACTGTTATACTTAGTAAGATCTGTAACCGCGTGGAAGTTTTTTTTATTAAACATTTATTAAACAGCCATTTTCAGGTATATTAAATTTCAAATGTAAAATTTAGAAATTATTACATCACATTACTTAAATTGAATTCATTTTGGAATATATATTAAGGTATAATGTTCAACATTCGTAGGAAATAAAGGGAATAGGTAATTATGATTTGTGATCGTTTGATAAAAATATTTTTTGCTATTTGCAAATTTTTTCAATAAAATTTAATTTTTAGGAATTTATGAGAGAGAAATATTGGAAATATTACTTTTTTTGGTTACTCGGAAGCGGTATTTTCTTGTGTACAAATTGTCTTCCGGATTTTATCACAAAAATGACCACAGAAAAAATAAAAGAATATGAAGAACTGTACAAGCAACGACCATACCTTACAAGAACTCAATTCTACGATTTATGCGAGGATTGGGCACAAAGACAGGATGCTAAAATTAAGGCTAATTAATTCGGGAAAACAATCTTCTAAAAACATTATTGCAATATTTGTTACAGAATGACAGAAATTGAAAATTGATTTCCTAATTTTTATAATTTCTTAACCTTTGACATATAGATAGTTACAGAATGAAAGATTCAAATTGATTTTATGATTGAGGATGTTTGGAAATATTAGCAAATTATGTTTATTTTTACAGTTTAAAAATCTTGAAATAATTACAGAAACAGTATCGACAGTATCGCCGGGATGAAGAACGATATATCGCCAAACGTGATCGAGTTCTCAAGGACAGATTAGATAGAGCAAATGGTAGCAATGAAGCAAAGAATTATTTATATGAATTACTTAATCTACAAAGTAATATGAATATAACTCTGAAAGTGTACGAAACAACAGAGGAGGAAATGCGACATTCTATTTTAGCTACTATACTGCAAGAAGCAACCGATATATGGAATTTATTAGATCCTGCACATATTGATTAACTACAGTAATATTCAATTTCATGATATTATTTGGTAACATAAAGAGGGTTTGATTAAATTAATGCGGCAGAAATGTTAATAATCTCTTTGATTAATGATGTAATTTGATGTTTATTGAAAAAGAAAAAAAAAATTGTGCATTTTTCTAATTCGAAATCTTTTAAACAAATAAAATATTTTAAATAACAAAATTTTTTAAATAATTAAACAAATATGGATTTATCTGTATCGATTCCATTCTTTTAATTACTCCTTTTTTAGTTCCAAAATTGTTCAATATTCAATCTTATTTAGAAATATTATTGTAAAATAACATATCATCTTAGAGTAAAAATATACTATCATATTTAAGCCAAAGTTATTCACTCAAAAAATATGACAAGAAAGGCTTACTTATTGGATTAAATTGACATTAATATATTTGTCTACAAAAAAAAGTACAACTCATAAGCAGCAAACAGCATTGTATCATTGATTTTATTACTGAAAATTTGAAGAAGAAAATTATGAAAATCACACTGTTACCTGTTTTATACCACAGATTAAACATAATTTTTTTTACCTTTTTATTAGTAATTTTGAAATGAAAAAAAAAGCTGTGGATATTAATTCGGGGGGGGGAAAAAAAACAGTAATATGTAAAGCTATCTATCAGAACTGCTAATTTGTAATTTTACAAACTTCATTTTCATCCGTTAATTGATATCAAATCAGTTGAAAAACCATCGATTTAACCATTCCGGAATATGAAATCATAAGGACGAATATCCACACTTAGCGAGGAGGAATAATCGATTTATTCTAAATGATATTGTTTTATTTAGGATATAAAAAAGATCCGGAAGATGTGTTCACAAAAAATGATATTGCTTTTGATGATGATATCAATAAAACAACTAATTGTTAGGATGAAATTATCATACAAAGTATTAAATAAAAGTAGAAATGGAATACTTTGTTACAGCAAATGCAATAAATGATCAAAATTAATGTAACAAAAGTAATCCTCCGCAAAACATTACTTTATCGAGGTTTAGTAAACAAGAGAAAACTTGATAAATTGATAGTTTAAAGGGTAGTGCAAAAATAAAACTGTTCTATAGTTGTTTATGTAAAAGTAATTTAAACAATCATTATGATAATGAAAGATCAATTTTCGACTTCATCTATTCAATGTTTTGTTTATAAATTTATCATTTAATAATTCCATGCATAAAATCATTAAACTAATCTATCACAAAATACAAAAGTATATTGCACTGATCGTATTCTATTCTTCTTTCCTTATTAGTATAATCATATGAATGATACAACAATAAGCAAAACAGTCTACCAATTTATGTCACCAACTATTATTGTTAGAGACATTTTAAGAGGATCAGCGAATTGATTTTATTGCATATTTTTTATTTTAACCTTTATTTTTGAATGTTTGCACCTTATGCTAGCTTACTAAAGCTTACTAAATTCGCTTGTTGCGAATAAACGCGAAGAAATCCAGTGATAGAGGGAAAATATTAGAATGTCTTGTGTTGTATTGGATTGTGACTAAGATCTGATTTGAAAACCATCCTCCTGTATGACTAAGATGCTATCATCACTAATATTCTTTTCTTTATTCTCTTGTGATTTAGCTTGACAGTTAATTTGTATTTTATAATTCTTAATGATTATGTAGCATTCATATTGTTTCTTTTATCTAATAATTCAATCATCCAAGTTTGGAGGGAAAATAAAGAAAATTTTGTAACTCTGATCGCATTGCGCAAACTATTTCACAAAAATGGGAAAGAAAAAAAAAGGATTTTTAAGCGGAAGTATAGAATTGTGAAAATCAATGGGAATGTAATAAAACAAAGACAAAGGGAAAAATGTCACCAAACAGCAATCAACAAATCCAGAAACTCAAGGACAGCGTAAATGATGGTTGCTATGAGGCGCAAAATGAAATGTGGGAAATTGAAAAACGGAAAACTAAAGAGCAATCGGTACGACCGGAGCTCAAAGCATTTGAAACCACAAATAATGTGCCAGAAATACAAGTTGCGATAGCTAAAGAATCCGCTAAATTATTGAACAAAACTATCAGTGATCAGAATGAAAAGCTGGGAAGTCTGAATATGCATATTTGACGTCTTGAAGAAAAAGTATCGGATTTGAAATTAACTGTTAGAAAGTGCATTAGGTCGATTACATTCCATTGGAAGATCAGTATCCAATACTGCAAGGTAAACATGCCTAGAAATTCTATGAAAAGTGAAGAGTACAAACATAAATCGAGAATTTGAACTTGAACGCCTCGAAAATAAAATCTAATAATACAATGAATAAAAGAACCTGCTTAATGATCTCAACGCAGAACGAGAATAATTGGCAAGATATTTATTGTTATAAGACATTATTTGGTCCAATTAAGAGATACTAATTCTACAAAATTTCAGGAAAGAAGAGAAATGTTCATTTAAAATATTATTAAGCAGCTGCTATGTTTGCTAAAAGCATTGGAACAGCGAGATGAAGAATGATGTCAGTTAAAAGCTAAAATAGTGGTAACAGATTTGGAAGTAAAAAAAGAGCAACTCCTGGAAACTGCATAAGTTAATTTGCGAACTTCATCTATCTCTTTTTAGTGAAAGTGAAGAACAATGGGATGGTAATATCATTTCCAACTCAAAAGTAAGCTTGGAGATAAGGAAGGTGAAAAGACAGCGACTTAATCTGTTGCAGATCGAAGGAAAACTACTAATCCGTCTGTGCAAATCTAAAAAATTCAATTTAAAAATTTTGAATTCAAAGGTGTGCGGTAGGTGGATTAGAAACCGAAAAAAATCGAAACAGAATTGGAAATATTGGATCGGAAGTAATAAACAATCAACAAAGTGTTTAACAAAGAAAAGACTCTTTGGTAAGAAATAAGACAATGAGGTAAAGAAGTGTGATAAAACTATGAATTAATACAAAACTAATTAACAGAATTTGCGACATATTAGAAATTAATTTCTATTGGCGTAAGTATTTTTATACTGATTGTTATGAAGATGGAAATTATTTTAGTTCAATCTATTTTTTCTCCACCATATATTAAACTCCAAATCGAAGAGAAGTTATAGTTCATTTTACGGAAATATATAGGCTTCTTTACCAGACAAAAAAGAACAATAAATGTCCAATTTAAATTAAAAAAACAGAATACTTTTCGTTAACTCACAGATTGTTCCCTTTGAGGATTTTAAGTCAGAAATAACGGAAAAACTAAAATATTTTTAGAATATAGAAATATATGGATGTTGTAAAGATGTTAAAAATGAACACTTTATGTAAAGACATTGTTAAATCAACCTATGTTGTAAAGAACTTTATATGCAAATGTTGGCATACTGTAAAGAATATGAACAAACTTCAGCTATACAAAGGTTCAGTCAGTAAATTTTGTAAACAAACTCCTACTACATAAATGGAAAAATTCTAACTTAATCCAGTCATTCGCTCCGTTAAATTGCATATTTTCCATAATAGATATTTTCTGGAATTTTCCCTGATAGATATTTTTTGGAATTTTCCATAATCAATATTTTTGGAATTTTTCTTCTCAGTCTCCTTCATATTTTTCAATCTCCTTAAATCGGAAATGTTTGAGAAAAACCGAAATATTTTATAATATAGAACTATATTGATATTGTAAATATGCTAGAAATTAACTCATCATACAAATCAACTTTTATTGGAAGAAATTTTCTCTGGGAA